CGGCATACATCTCACATCTGTCTATTTGTTTATATCGTATCGGTCTACTTATTTGTCCGTTATTTATAATAACGCTTCATCTTTAGAGTAAATAAAAGTGAAGAGGTGTCGCAAACGAACAAGACGGATGTTGTTTTTGGTAAACGGCCGTACAGCTTAACCGAGCTGCGAGCTCCAGCGGTCGGACGATACATCACGTTCTCCCTACGCATAAACCTGTGGTGCCTATCACCGAAACTGGGATCTCGGGTGGTACCTGGGGATGATAAACGGGTGTCGTGCTGCCGACAGCATTGGCATCTCCCCGCATAGCAGGCGGCATGCTCGCGGAGGCCGTGGGCAGATTCCTCGGGTTCATGGCGATCTCGGGGCCGGGATGGATCCTCCTAACACCCGCCGGTGGTCCGGCGGGTGTCGCACTCGGTGCCTTCACCATCCTGGGCCGCACCCCGCGCTAGGTCGCACCGACTGGCTGCGAAAACGGCTGCGAACGCACGCACACCAGCTGGCCCTATCGATCTACCCCGCTTTTTCTCTCTCGAACGAGAGAAATTGTCCTACTCTCGGCGCCCCAGGGCTGAGCCGAGGGGTCCCCGAGAGCCAGCCAGCCTCCTCGTAGACTATCTCGTCGGCGCGTCTCGCGCCCGCGGGACCTGCATGGTCCCTCGCGCGAGCGGGACGACGGAGTCCACCACCCCGACAATGTCCTGTTACGCGACACTCGCGCCAAAGACGGACTCGCGGTAATCTGTCGTCGGCAGACTCCTGGCGATCCGACAACGATGAGCGCGACAGCGGCGATGGTGACGGCCACCACGACGACGTTGGCATACGTCGGGCACGACCGAAGCGACGCGTCTCGGTGGTCCTCGCGAGAGAACGCGAGGGATGACGAGCTCTCTCGAGGTGGGTTGGAAGAGGACCGACCGGGGGTGCGCGAGCTGGTGCGAGGAAGAGCGCGTGATACGAGGAGGGTAGATACGGGCAGAGACAGGGTGGAGGAAGCGCCACGACGAAGGGCCACGAAGATGGGAGGGGGATGAATGGAGGGAGTGGAAGCGTGGGAGAAATTGAAACGAGGGGAAATCATAGCGGATGTTCGCGGCAAAAGAGGGCCATGATGATGACGGGGGGAGGTAAGCTGACGCGGTGGGAATATTTGTAACGTCCCTTACTCTTGACTCATACATTCGCTTTGTGAGCCTGCACGACACGTTCCCCATGCTACTCTGGCATATTAATACCGTGATATTTATCCGTGTCTCGTTGAATGCCGATAGGATAAATATCGTTGTATAAATAGTTCTTTCCTGATTATTTTCATATGGCGGTGAACTCTTCAGTTCTATCAAGTTAAATAACGACAAAAAATTATCGTTATTCTCGCCTAGATCTATGTGAAGATCTATGTGATCCCTTTTAGCCAATAAAATGTTCACGGTCTGAGTGAGAAACGTTTTTTTTCGTGTTGTTCAAAATTGTCAAAGGCATTAAATGTATTAATCAAAAGTAATTGGAGATTAATTAATCTGTATTAATTTAAAATATTTATAATATACAAATATTGATCTATAATCATGCAATATCCGTTGTTAATTTAAAATATTTACGATTGTAAAGTGATTTAATTTTTTCCTATCTGTATTATTACGCATTAGCCTATTTATTTGTCCTTAATTATATAAATATGTCTAGTTGCCACCGTATTAATTGTCCTAGTGTTAAAACATGATGATAATAAATAATTAGGTAAACAGTACCCCAAGTTAACTACGCTGTCGCGGAATGAAAGGTAAACCAGGAAATGAATAAGGAGGATCGTTCCGTTGCGGGCACGTGTGCATATGGGACAATGGCATTAGCTGAGAGGGAAGATAAAAAAGCGACATGTTAAACATACTGGTAGAACTAGTACGTCACAGCGGTGAATGAGGGGAGCGCGGGAAAAGAGGGTAGCAGCGGTAAGGGTAGAGGGAGCGAGATAAACGAGATGACACAGTTGCAATATTGAAAAGACAAGCCGGACGCGTGTTGGCACGGAGGAATGAAACAAATATGACGTCATAGACGGGCGCCGTCCTTAAAGCTGCGACGCCTACGGTGTACATGCGCGCGGAAGTACCGACGTCTACGATTATGAGGAAAAGAAGGAGAGAAAGAAAGAAGGCAAGAGGGAAAAAGGTAGAAAGAAGGAGAAGAAGAATCACGTCGAGACCAGATGGAGCTCCTGCACATCCTCTCGCCATCACCCTCTTTGTTACGGGACCGGAACTATTCTGCGAAATTCACGTGACCGAGTGTTTTTTTGATCGATTGGCATGATCTTAATCACTTAATTAAATTTTAATTCGGTTGTCTCTTTTTTAATGAATTATCCTTAAGTTTCCTTAATTATTTACTAAATCTTTTACTCTCACATATGTATATCTATGTATATTTATATGTTCTATGTAACAGATATATTTGATATTAATTAAATTAATTAAATTTAACATTTACTTATTTATTTATAAATTTCTCGTAAACTATGCATTAATTTAATAAACACTGTTGTTGAATTTGATTTCTGTAAATAAGAAATCTTGTTGATCAGAATTACCTTTAACAATAAATTTTGTATATAATATTCTGTATTTGTATATTACGTATTATTATATGTTTATATATGATAATTTATAAATTATGTAAATTTTTTGAAACATTCTCTATATGTATTTATAATTCCTTGACTGATGTAGAGAGGTCGCACGTATGACAAATGTATAATGTGTCTCTGTAAAATCAATGCAGATTTCATATATACCGGCAGATCAAAAGGATACTGGCATTTTGATTTCATAATTATTACATGTATGTGTTTTATTTATTATATATATATATATATATATATATATATATATATAAAGCATAGAAACAAGTTTATTAGAAATACATCTTATAATTTAAATTAAAAATATTTACATAATATTTTTTATATATTTTTGGTACACATTAAATAAGATACGTATAAAATTAAAGATACACAGTAAATTTTATTTAATAACGATACTAAGCTTCTTTGAGATTATTTTGTTTTATTGACATTATTACGCCAATAAATATATCCGAATACTTTTTAAAACTGTTTTAAAAATGTTACAAATTTACATAAATATTATAATACAACACATTGAAGTTATACATTACAATATAATATTACTTAAAAGCATTTTTGAAACATTGAATGTTTTATATATTTCTACGTTTACTTTTTTAAAAGTAACATATATGGATATTTACGACAAATTTTAAATGGAGGCGATGTTAACGCTCATTTTAATCAATATGCTCGCTGTGAAGATAAATACGTCTTGTTGAACTACAAAAGTTCTTTAGATATTTAATCGATATTATTATCTATCGCCTTTTATCTATGGTAAACATTATTGTATTTCTTGCATCACGAATGAAATAAAAAAGATTTGTATGCGCAATTATTTTTTCATCGCTTTAATAGAATTTCAATGAAGCAACAAATCGTCCGTCCATTGCGTGACTTTGCATTTCTAACTGAACAAATGGATTCAAGTGTACATGGCAAGCCACGCAAATAAACACGAGCGAATTTATAGAACATACGTATGTGCGGCGCAGATTCCTTTTTACCGAATCTTATTAGTTGCCCCACTATCGAATAGTCATCAAGCGAGTCATCTTCGCTAATGCAAAGCGTATGACTGTGAAATATATATTTTTTATTTATTTGGTATATTTCCTTTGTAAATTATCGGACACTTTCGCAAAAATCTTTACCAACAAGGTAAATAAAAATAAAATTTGCCGGGTAATATTTGAGTTAATCATTCATTATATAGCGAAAAAAAGATCGACATTGACATACATCACGTAGTTGTTGCTCGAAATTTTGCGAGTTTCTCTTCAAATGGATGTTTTGTTCTCTGCATACTCGAGGAAGAATTATATAGGTCAAAAAAAAAAAAAAATGAAAAACGAGAAATGGAACGAGCGGGTTACATTAAATGTGGGTGGTGTTCGACACGAGACGAATAAAGAGCGACGCTGAAGAAAATCCCAGCGACCAGATTGTCACGGTTAACAGAGGCGTTAGCGAATTACGACCCGGTATTAAATGAATACTTTTACGATCGGCATCCAAGCGTCTTCGCACAAGTGCTCAATTATTATCGCACGAGAAAACTCCATTATTCCACGGATGTGTGCGGTCCGCTTTTCGAAGAGGAATTGGAATTTTGGGGTCTCGATTTGACCAGGTCTGATATCTTCGTTTCAATAAATTGCATATGTTATTACCTTAATATATATATATATATATATATATATATATATATATATATATATACACACACACATCATACACATACACACACACATATACATAAAAAATGTCAATAATATGGGATACATGTACAGCGATAATATTACGGAATACATATGTTACAGATATGAAATCCAATAATTCCGTGTCAATATTCTGTCAATTATTTAAAGCTACTTCAACCAGCTTGCAATCTGTGACGCATCGATGATTAATTTTAATATAAATCTAATTTGTCCTTTATTTTGTTAAAATAATTATTGTAATTAGCAATAGGTCTTTGAAAGAATTAAATAGGGTAAAGTTAAAAGACTAAAAGAATAGATATATATCATTAACTTTTCTTTCAAATCATTTTTATAATTAAACATTTTTATAATTAAATTAAATAATTATTCTGTTATAATTAAACTTATCAAATAAAATTTAAATATCGTCTATATATATTTTCAAGAGAACTTGGAAACACTAATATAGTGATAACAAATATTATCATTTTCCAAATACTTAATTAAAATTTAAAAAAATTTTACTCAAAATAAACATTGTTTAAATAAAATGTTTGTATTCTGTTCTCTTATTGTAAGCGCATTACTGTATATATTGTTTACACGTAACTTGCTTCATACAAAAACGATTTAGTGTTTATTAATTTAAGTAATTATCACTCATGGAATACTTTAATATTTCTTAATTAAATTTTCTAGGTAGAAACCGTGTTGCTGGAATACCAATAGTGTTCATCGAGACACGCAAGCTACTTTGGCGATTTTTGATAAGCTTGATGTCGAGCGCGAAAAGCTCAGCGGTGAAGAAATTGCACGGATTTTTGGCTTCGAGGACGAGTGTCATGAAAAGACTTTAACGAAATGGCAAAGAAAAGAAAGAAATGGCAAAATTACGATCTCGTATGTGGGTTCTTTTCGAAGAACCCAATTCTTCATCAACGGCCAAACTATAGCTTATGTATCGGTGTCTTTCATTTGTCTCTCAGTTCTTAGTTTCTGCATGAAGGGTCATGCACCAGTGGAATTGCCGGAGAATAAGGATGACTATACAAATTTGTGGGAAGACCATTTGAAACCGCTACTGATTGTCATGAAGCGTTTTTTTATCTGGAATACGCTTGTAACGCTTGGTTCACTGTGGAAATAATACTTCACTGTCTCGTACGAACTTATTGTATTTGTTTTAACATTTGATCATTATTATTAATTATTCTCTGCAATATTTGCTAAATTTGTTTCTGTTTTACGCAAAATAATCATATGACGTATATATATTTTTAATTTTAACGTTTTATTATAATTTTTTTTATTATCGACAGCTAGGTTATTTTTAGCCACGATAATTAGGGTAATGAAAATTACGTTGCTATGTAATGTGATTACAGGTAAGTCCCAGCCTAAGGCGTTTCGTCATGTCGCCGGTCAATGCAATCGATCTAGTGGCGACGATGAGTTTCTACACAGAATTCTTGGCAAAATCAAGTTTTTATCTGGAGCTCCTGTCAATAGCACGTGTTCTACGATTATTTAAGTTGACGAGGCACTCCCCTGGACTTAGAATCCTTATTCACACCTTTAAAGCGTCTGCCAAAGAATTGATTTTACTAGTTTTTATCCTTGCATTAGGAATCGTGCTTTTCGGCAGTCTCATATTATACGTTGAATGCATACAGGTACATTTCTACTTCTATTCACAAGGAAATAAAGAACTGAATATTTTAAGAATACAGTTGGGTGCGCTTTAAAGCGATAAAACTTTTGCAGTAAAATCCGTTGAAAGTTCAATCTCTGGTAGAAAGAAGTTTTTTCAAATCCGATTTTAAAATTCAATTCATTTTTACATTAACGCGAATTGCATATAAATATGTATAAATAACAAAACTAAAATTTATTTTTTGTTAAATCTCTCTCTCTCTCTCTCTCTCTCTCTCTCTACTCTATCATCAAAAGCGACAATTAAATTTAATATTGTTCCAAAAAAATTGCAGAATTACCAAAGTTTTATTTTATTCTAAAATGTAATTGAAAACCAGTCTGATTTCCGCTCAAACAATCATGGAATCTCTTTTGAGAAGAATTTATAAGAATTCTTCAATTCCTTAAAAGATTCCTTAAAAGATTTTCTCGATTTTACAATACCTTACAGGAAAATCCTGGAAACAAGTTTGACAGTATACCGCGAGGTTTATGGTGGGCTTTAGTTACCATGACCACTGTAGGTTACGGCGACGTGGTACCGAAAACTTTCCCCGGCATGTTCATCGGTGGACTTTGCACTCTTGCCGGTGTCCTGACTATCGCTCTTCCAGTTCCGGTCATTGTCAGCAACTTCTCCATGTTCTATTCGCACACGCAGATACTCGCATTATCATCATTACACTTCGACCTTTATTAATTTACATATAACCGTCTGATGACAATAGAGACGTTATCTAATCTTATGTAGAAAAAAAAATAGATATGAATGAATTTCACATATATGAATGTATATATGTGAAAAAATAAAACTTTTCAGGCACGCAAAAAACTACCAAAGCATCGAAGAAGAGTTCTACCTGCTTTCCCAAGACAAATGAGGTCACCGCATCAGAGTTACGTTGACAGCGAGGAACACCAACTTCTACCGAGTTCAGCTTCTAAATCAATAATGGATTTAACACCTCGGTCAACTACCACTGGATTAGATGTGTTGCAATTACAGGTGCCACGTGTATTAATTGCACACTTATTACTATAAACGATTTTATGATATCTTACCTTACAATAAGAGTAGTCTTCTTGTATTCTTATAATTTTATTTACAGATATTATAATTAAGCGAATATTTCAGCCTCAGACAGATAATCAAACGGAAATGACTTAATCAAAATGGAAACGACATAATCAATCAATTTAATTAAAAAAACATCTCCGAAGATTTGAAAAGAAAGTGCTATTTGTACTCGTTTGCATGTAATATTAATATAAAAGAAATTTAGCAGTAATGAGAATTAAATCTTATACTATTTCATAGCAGTAATAAATTATCTGTAATAAATATGTTGATTATAAAATAAAAAAATACTTGTATATAATGTTTGTAATCGAAAAAAAAAAGTAAAAATAAATACCATCTTCAATCTTAAAATAGAGAAAAAAAA